GTTTTATGCTGGGTAGGGGGATCAAGACCAGATTTTTACTCTTTAGCAAGTAGCTGAAAAATATCAGAATGTGAGAAAGAAAGTTTATTGTCTGTATCTTAATTTAGATTAAGAATATGATGAGAAAATAATGAATTATGAAATGCTTTGGGCAAGCACAGAGTTGAAGGTTAGTTATAATTCAAAAAGAGTGGTATATGATGGAAGTAAAGCTTTCATTAAAAAAAAAAACAAACTGGAATGCTTAGCAAAATGAGGAAAAGGATATGTGATGCGGCCTTAATGGTTTAAATGTACTTATTGATAAAGATGTAAAGAATGCTTGTAATGTTAGACGTGTGTTGTTTAGAGACATGAATGGTGCAATATGAACTATGGATTAATATCTCAAAGACCAAGGTGCTTTTTTATTTTTTGACAAGGAAAAACTAGAGCAAGTAAATGAATTAGTGTACCTTAGTAAAAATTTTTAGTAAAGAGGAGGAATGGATGGAGAAATTTTTAGATAAGCAAATGTTGGTAGAAAGGTAGTAGGTAGTTGCTTTCAAGGAAGGAATGTGTTTGCTCAAAGAAGCAAAAATGGCTGTGTATAAGAGCATGCTTTTTCCCATTTGCGTATATAGAAGTGAGAGTTTGATATATAAGGAGAAACATAAAAATAAAATGAATGGACTGGGAATGTTGTTGTTTTTTTAAAGTGTAGTAAAACAAGAAGAAATGGGGTGAAAAATGAATGGGTGTGGAATAAATGTGGATTAAGTACAACATTTGAATTGATCGTACAGAAACAAATGAATAGGACTAAATTGTTTAACAAATATATGAAGAAAGTTTGAATGGATTGAGAGAAAGAAGTCCAAGAAAACTCTGGTGGAATGAAATTGATGAGATCCTCAGAAAGAGAGAAATGGGAAGTGTAAAGAACAAAGGCAATATATTAAGCAGCATATGGATGTGGAGGAAGCAAGGTTGGTTTGCAGAGATAGAGAGGTATGGAGAACTATATGAATGATGATGGTATTAAGTAGTTTCAGCTATTTTGTTTTATTTTTCTTAGTATTTCTTACTCCTTTCTTGCCCACTGTATAACACTGCATACCCTGAAAGGGAATAGCATGATAAATATGTATGTTTGTGTACATATTCCATTTGCTTTCTGAAATCTCATAACCGTTTTTGTTTATAGTCCACAGAAATTCAGTTGCTTAAATATCCATTCAGAAATCTGAATAGTGTAATTTGTATTTATGCTGTTCAAGCATGGGCATTAAGAAAGATTTTTTCCCTACTCGTTTCTCTTTGCTTGGTCTGTCTTCTTCTGACAGAACAAATATCACTTTAGATTTAACTCTTTGATTGCTTACATGCACAAGAACGATAAAAGTGAAATCAGATGTATTAAAACCCATCATTTAATTTAAAATGGCTACTTAAATGCTGATGTACCTCTAACTATTTCTTCCAAATGGTGAATTAATGTAATTTGTGCAGAAAGTGAAGTTTCCCAATTATGAGCATTTTGAACACTTTCTAATTTAATGTTTCTTGCCTGCCATAGGAGAGATGTTGCTTATCATTTTAATATCAAATTTTTCTCAACCAAATTTGTCGTGAAAACCACGTAGTAATTTTAGGGAAATCTTTAGATGGACGAGGACTTTTGAATCATAAATGCTCCTTCTCTTGTAGAAATAAACATGGCACATTTTAGAGTGCCAGTCATACCCATATAAGCCAATGTTAGAGTTCTGCATTGTTCGTTTTATTGTATTATTTCGTTAATGTCTTCCCAGAATTTTTCTCTTTTCAAAATGGCTCAGGCAATGTTGTATAAACTAGCATCACAAATAATAGTAGTAATAATAATAATAAAATCTGTTGCTGTTGCTCATTTCCATGTATGAAAGTTGGCATTGTTCCCTGGTATCAGAAAGTGCTTAATAACCCTTATGTCTGATGCTGTTTGAATGATAAGGTCTATTTTTAGTTGAAAATTTCTTTCACTTCCTCTTTTCACCCCCGTGATAGCGCTCAGATGTCTTTAACTACCTCTGTGAGGAGATAATAGGAGCTTAGTTCAGTATATCAAGAGGGATTAAGCTGGAATGAGATTACAGTTTTGAATTTATTTCAAATAGTGAATATTCCATGAAAATGTATTGCAAAGGATTCTAGCCTTTGCTGCAGCAAAATGTGAAAGTATTTTTATAGGAGTTAATTGGTATACTTAATGAGACTACTTTTGAGAATTATGTGTTTGGTTCAAGCAGATATAGAGATATTTTCATTCATGAAATTTTTAGTAGATGTAAAACAAATGGCATTCAAAAGTACTATCTTTTGAAAAACTGGGCGTGAACAAGCTGGATCCATACTACAGCCAGGAGTTGTCTCCAGAGTAACTTCCATTCCATTTCTTGAAAAGAAATAAAGTAAAATAAAGAAAATGTTACAAAAAGAAATATGTAAATATAGAAAATGGTACAAAAGCAAACTGGGATGAATTTATCCCTAAGTGCTATAAGTTTTCCATGTGTATTTATTGCTTTATGTCAGGTAATTCATTCCGTTCCTCTTTGATAGATCATCACTTTGGTTTGATGTTTATGAATTTCCAAGGCTTTATTTTGGTGATGTTTGTAATAATATACTGGTTCATTAAATAATGTCTCAGTGCCTTGTTGACTTTGTCTGGACCAGGGGCAAGACTCAGGCCTGGTTACTGTTTGGATGCGAGACCTCCATAAAATGCCAGGTCGCCAGACAAGATTGGGCAGTTGAAGAAAACACATGGAAGGCAACAGCAACCCACTTCTTTGTTGCCAAGAAAACATATCCATGATGTCAAAAAGAGTTGAGACTGATTTGGAAAAGGTCTTATTTACTTTCTCTGTGTGTGCGTGCATGCCTTAAAGTCAGCGTTGACTCCTGATGACTGCCTGGACAATTCCCTGCAGTTTTCTTGGCAAGGTTTTTCAGAAGTGGTTTGCCCTTGCCTGCTTCCTCAGGCTGAGAGAGACTGGCCCAAGGTCACCCAGCTGGCTTCGTGCCTAAGGCCGGACTAGAACTCACAGTCTCCTGGTTTCTAGCGTGGTGCCTTAACCACTACACCAAACTGGCTCTTCCTACTTACTTAATTAAATATGTTTCCTTATCTTTTCTGTTTTTTCCATAGGGTTTAAAAGGTGATACTGGTGATCATGGAATGACTGGTGCAAAGGGAGAAAAGGTATGCATGTGTGTCTACGTGCAAATAGTTATATTGAACTAAGAGGCCACTGAGAATTGGAGGACTGTGTAGTTGAAAGGACAGAAGAAATTGCTGAAAACAAAAGAATGAACAAGAAATACTAAGGGCTGCATCCAGTGCTGTAGTGTGGATGTTTTTGAAGATTAGCCTGAATATTAACAACTGCTTGGGAAGTGTTACTTGCCCAAGTTTTACCTAAGCAGGATAACTGTTTCCTTTTGCTCCTATGCAACTACTTCTTCCCCTCCCCTCATCTCCATCCAGTTTTGTTCGTGTTCTCTCTTTTTTCCTCTCCCTCTCCCTCTTCCTCTTCTGCTTGCAAGCATAAGTGCAAATACATTGCAGTCCTAAGCACTACGTGCATATCTGTCATGTCATTATACTGCCTCATTTGTAAATAACTTAATTATGTAGCAAATGTCCCTTTGGAGGTATTGCTCTATCCCATTAATATTATTAGACCTGATCATCTGTAGTGTTCTTTAATTAAAGATGGATCATGGCTTACCAGATTTGGTACTCTTGGTATTTTGTAGAGTAGTGTGACCCACCATCACTTCCACAACTGGATCCTTTCCCCTCAGTACATAAAGCAGACTCTCCCATCTATATGCCTGTCCCCTTGCGAGAGTCAGTACTTTCCTTATCTGAGGAAGGAAGCCATGATCCATGGCAAACGTATGCCACAATAGAAGAGTTGACCTTTTAAAAGTGCCACAAATTCATTGCTGCCATTTCATTATTTGCCACTTCATTGCTTCTTGCTTTGTACTCCTATACAATGTATGTCTCCCCTTCATCAGAAAACTTATGAACCTCAGCAAACCTTGACACTCCAGTCCTCCTATAGTTGAAGCAGACATTTGCCTAATTTGTATTTTAAATTAGGTAAACTGAATTTACCTAATCCAAATGTCTGAAACATATAGGGTAGGTGGGTTCAGGACCATGCATGTCCTTTTGTACATACACTTTTCTGCATATACCCCCTTGCATGTCACTGGCACATACCATTAACATCAGCTGGAATGGGATCTGAGCTTCTCCCTCCTACCACCCACAGTCAGAAACACTGATAGCAGAGAGAACAAGCTGTCTTTCTTCCCCCACTGCTTTCACATCATCACAATAATGCTCTTACTTCCTTTAGGATTCCTCCTAGGAATCAGGACAGTCTACATGAGCAGAGCAGGCTCACTTCTTTGAATTTAGAAATGCAGTCTGCCACACAAAAAAATGGTTAAAACATGCACCTTGCCAAGTGGTTTCAATGAAGCATTATGAAAATTACTTCCAAAAAATGCACAGATAGGGGAAATTGCCTTCAGATAGGAGGATATGATGAAAAAGTGTACAAAAATACAGCAGAAGAAATGCAAACCAAGTTTCATGATAGACATTTTAGAAATAGTTACAGAAGCTGATGCAGAAATAGGATTGAACAGACTTACTGTATATACTTACACATAAGTCCATTTGCTGATAAGCCGACCCTCGAATTTTTGACCAAAATACTGTACCATGAAAAATGAGCTACCACAAATAAGCCTGGATCTCCACTCAGATGATATCTTCTGACTTTGGGCTGCTCATCACTTTAATTTTCACTGTCTCATTAGATTTGTTTTAACTAAATTGAATAGAGACTAAATATATTGAATTAAGTATTTCAAATGATGCTGAGTGGACCATAGATGTCAAGCTAAGTATTTAAAATGTAGTGGCATTTTTTAAAAATTGCACTAATATGAGATTGCTGACTTTTGCTTTCTTCTTAATATTATAGGGTGATACAGGACCTCCAGGACCTGCTGCCCTTGCAGTAAGTACATTAATTTGGAAACAAAGAAGAAATCTTCTAGGTATTGGCTTGTATATATGATGGTGTTTTGTTTTGTTTTGTTTTGCACTGATGAATTTACCTAGCTAAATGAAATGATCACTTTCTCAGTTGTACAAAATGTGTAACTAGCAACCTATAAAATTAGTGAGAGGACTATTAGATTTGTTCGGCTGAATGCACTCTATTTCCACTTTCTTCAAAAGAGCTCTGGCTATCTCATTGTGTGAAATGAGATCATGCAAGCACTTGCAAAATAACCTGATAGGTGAAAAGAATATGTTACTCTGTTTATCACTTTTCATATTTAGTAATGCATTCAGAAGGACAACTGAGGTGCCGCAGTGCCTTTTCCCTAGCGCAGTGTTGACCAAACTTGGCCACTTTAAGATGAGTGGACTTCAACTCCCAGAATTCCCCA